TTCGCCTTCTCCCTGCATGCCCCACCCACTCTTTCCTGCCCCCTCCCCTTCTCCCCCCACGCCTCACCCACTCTCCTTTGCCCGCTTCCCCGGCAGCTCACCATCATCTTCAAGAACTTCCAGGAGTGCGTGGACCAGAAGGTGTACCAGGCTGAAATGGACGAGCTCCCGGCCGCCTTCGCCGACGGCTCTAAGAATGGCGGGGACAAGCATGGGGCCAACAGCCTGAAGATCACCGAGAAGGTGTCAGGCCAGCACGTGGAGATCCAGGCCAAGTACATCGGCACCACCATCGTGGTGCGCCAGGTGGGCCGCTACCTGACCTTCGCGGTTCGCATGCCCGAGGAGGTGGTCAACGCTGTGGAGGACCGGGACAGCCAGGGTCTCTACCTCTGCCTGCGGGGCTGCCCCCTGAACCAGCAGATCGACTTCCAGACCTTCCACCCCAATGCTGAGGGCCCCGGCGCCCACAGGCTGGTGGCCGCCAGCCCCATGCCCACGGCCCCTGAGACCTTCCCGTATGAGACGGCTGTGGCCAAGTGCAAGGAGAAGCTGCCCGTGGAGGACCTGTACTACCAGGCCTGCGTCTTCGACCTCCTCACCACGGGGGACGTGAACTTCACCCTGGCCGCCTACTATGCCCTGGAGGACGTCAAGATGCTCCACTCCAACAAAGACAAACTGCATCTGTACGAAAGGACTCGGGAGCTGCCGGGCGGGGTGGCCACCGCGGGGCTGCCCCCAGCCCCCCGGCCCCTCCTGGGCACCCTAGTCCTACTCCTCGCCCTGTTCCCTGTGTTCTGCTAGGCTGTCGACACGTAGGATGTAGAGGGAGGCGCGACCCCTGTCCCCAGCCTGCGAACATCTGCCCCTGGGCTTCTCTGAGGCTGGGGACACCCCTGAGGGTGCAGATCGCCTGGCGCAGTCCCTGTGGCTCAGCAGCCTCTGCAGGAGTCGCCATGGGCCCTGGCGAGGGCTCAGGCGCGGGCCCCCTCCCCCTCCCCCTCTAGTGCACGTGACAAGGTTGTGGTGACTGGTGCCGTGATGTTTGTGACAGTAGAGCTGTGTGAGGAGGCGAGCAGCTCCCTCGCCCCACCCCCGCAGTGTGAATGTGCAAAACAGCCCCCCAGGCTGAAGCCCCCCCAAACCCTCCAGAGAGACACTGGGAATGGTCAGAGTCAGCTCCTCCCACCCCCTTGCAATGCACTGAAACAGACCCGGCTGGCTGCTGCTCGCTGATTCATGGGGTCACCCGTGCCCACCACATGCACACACACACTCTTACACCAGAGCACACTCGCACATGCTAGGCCGGTGGATGCCCTGGCCGAGCTGCCACGTGAGTGGGGCTGAGGCGTCCTCGATGCTGGTCCCCAGGCAGGGCCTCTCCCATGGTGGGACACCCAAGGGCACTGCTCGCCATCTTCAGCAATTGATGTAACCTTTTGGCCAATAAATCAAAAAAAAAAAAAAAAATAGGCCTGGCGCCTTCTCGCCCACGGCCTCCCTGTGAGCTGAGACCACCATGTTCACGTGGCTGCTATGGGCCTGGGTTTTGGCCCCAGTTTCCAGGCACCTATGTGGATGCCCTCCTCTGCCCCTGGCCCCACCCTCTCCCCACTCCCACCACCACCACTGTGCTTAGAACGTCCAAGTGCTTGGTTCCAAATGTAAACAGGGAAGAGATTCCATGACTTCTGTTCCTCCCCTTCCAGCCCAAGCAGGAGCCCCTGAGCAGAGCTGCCTGAACTCCGGAGCATGGGCAGGAGAACCAGCGGACAGGGCCAGCTGGCCTGCCCTGATCCTCTGCTTTCTCCTGGCCCACTCCCAGGGCCCTGCCCACATCTGGATTCTGGAGAGAGGAGCAGGGTCTTAGAAGGTGTCTCAGCCCAAGCATCCTCAGCAGGGTCTCCCTCCCGTGTCCCTTCCTTAAACCCTGCAGCCACATGGCGAGGAGGGACCTGCCACTGGGAGCCCAGCTCCTGCCTCTTTCAGCCAGGTGCCCTCCAAGGAGTCCAGAACAGTCCTGCTTCCGCTGCTGTTCAGAGACCCCCCCCCCAGGAACCCAAGGGTGAAGGGTGCAGTCAGGGCCCAGACGGCAGTCCCGCCCACAGCCCCACACGGCTCCTGCCGGTTGGCATCCGTGGCTGCCCTCTGCTGTTCCCCAGGGACCTCTCATACACTGGCCAGGAGGCTGCGGAACGTGTGTCTCCCCTCCCCACAAGAGGTCCTGCTCCCTCTACCAGAACCAGGCGGGTGGGCCAGTGGGAGGGGGCCTGACCCCGGCCCCTTCCTCTCCCTGCTGGTTTCTAGATGGTCCCTATGTTGGAAGTAAAAAGTGAAGCACTTTATTTTGGTTGTGTTTGATCATGTTCTGCTTGGAAGTGGGGACCCCTCACTGCGTCCATGTGTCTGTGACCTGTGTGGAGCGTCACCGCGTGTACATACTGTAAATTATTTATTAACGGCTAAATGCAAGTAAAGTTTGTTTTGGTTTTTTTTGTTATTTTCTTTTAGACAACCTGGTAGAGTTTGTTTTCTGAACGGACTTTGGGTCCCTTGGGGGATGAAGGGTCGACTTTGGTGGTGTGTGTGTGTGTGTGCACATGTGTACGCATGCACAAGTGTGTATATGAGTATTGTGAATGCGTGTAGAAGACAGGGTTTTAACACCCACTACCTCTTGTTCCCTAAAAATCACTTTTTCTCATCACACTGAGATGTCTGGAGGACTTGGTAGCCCAAGTCCTCTTGTTCTGGTGACAGAAACACAGTAATGGAGATGGGTAACCACATACATGGTAGGGGGATATCACATGCCCTCTGGGATGAGGTGGGCTGGGCTGGCCTGAGGTCCAAGATGACTCTGTCTCAGTTGCCACTGTCAGTGAGGCACCCCCAGACGCAGGACTGGCTGCCACCCTTCCCCTGGTGCCCGTCCTCACATAGCCAGGAACAGGGTGATGGAACTGCTGAGGGGACTGCCGTCCACATCAGTGTCGGGACAGATTCACTGCCGGCTGTGGTCACGTTTCATCCCTAAAAACCACCCAGTGAGTCAGGAATACATTTGGGCCCATTTTACAGATGAAATGAGACTCAGATAAGTTGACTGGTCTGGGGTTCCTTAGCAAGGCTAGGGTCAAGACGTACATCTAGGTCTGTTTTGCTTTTAGCACTAGCTGCCACGAGGTCTAACAGCACAGTTATGCCGGCTACATCCTGGCTTCTCCGCCTTCTCAGCTGTGTGATCTTGGGCAAGTCCTCTAACCTTTCTGAGTCTGCAGCCTGTTCTCTGGAAGATGGGGAGTGCCTCTTCCCGAGGGTTGTTGGGAATTTTCGGGGCTGTTTTCTGTGCACTGCTTAGGAGATGCCTGGCACACAGGGCTTGCCTAGTGGTAGTGGAGGTGGCAGTGTTATCCCAAAGCGAGAGACTGAATGGGTGGAGGGGGCCAGGGCCACACGGACCCTGGAAACTTGGGAGGGAGGTGAACCAGAAGGCTGTCAAGGGAAGGTATCAAAGTGCACATCTACACCCATCCCAGGCAGAGCAGGAAGCCTAAGACAGCAGAGGAGAACTCGAGAGGCCTCCCTCCCACCGGCTCCCAGAAAGAACACGGGAGTCAGGCTTGGAGGAAGGAACCACACTGGAAAGGTCAGAACTTACCTCATATCTTACTTAGTGACTGGGACTGCCCTAGCGGCATCGCCCTCCACAGTAAATGGTTGAAATAAATCACTCGGGGTGGGGGGGCGGCACAGAGGTGGCAGCGCCTCGATTACTGAAAAACCAGGGCACATGAGAGGAAAAAGATGTCATTAGCCATCAGACAAAAATGCCAAATGGCACTCGCCAGCAAATATTCCTGGTCTGGAATTGTTTCAGGACCCTAAATTTACCCAGCTGGAATTACTTTCCAAGTCCCGTGCTGCTAGTTGCCCTTGTGAACACGGAAATGTGTGTTTCATCATGAATACGGAACACAGTATCTCAGCTAGGGAGGCCGGTGGGCCTGGAGGTGAAGCATCAGGGCATAAAAGTGGGGGTGCCTCCCCCTTCCCGCTCCATCCCCCCATCCATCTCAACTTGCTGCTGTGTGGCCAGAACTGTCGGGAGCTCCCATCTGGCAAATATGAATATCCCGTAAGGCTAGAAGTCAGGAGAGAGGGCTGTTGAAACGAATGCATAAGAGGCACTTACAACAAAGGGGGCAAGCTGTCGTCTGAAAATAACGACCAGGACCCTTGGGCAGGAACCCACCAGAACCAGGCAGGGGTGGCACTCCCACAGCACCAGTGGATGGCCTGGAGCAGCGTGGAACTTGGGCCCAGGCTGCAGGCAGACTTGGCCTTGAATCTGGCTCAGCCTGTTGCTAGCTGTGTGGTCTCCCTGGGATTTTTTGAGCCTTAGATTCCTTATTTGCAAAATGGAATTATGAGTACCCACCTCCCAAGGTCGGTATGGAAATCCAATGAGCTCACACTCATAAACTGCCTTGCACATGGCCCTGGCGCTGCATAGGGAGGCCGCCAGAAATGGAGGTCCCCTCTCTGCAGTTGCATGGGTTCGTTTATTTATCCCATAACTCTATTTTTGTGTCCCAGCATCGTGCTGGGTGCAGAGGGCAGTGACCCAGACTACCTTGCATTCTCAAGAGGAGATAAGTCAATAAACCATAGTCACAAAAACCTGTGTTCCATGGTGACAGGCACCACAAAGAAAAGGGCGATGTGGCTGGGAGAAGTTGAAGGATTGCTTGAGGTCAGGAGTTTGAAACCAGTCCAGACAACCTAGCAAGACCCCATCTTTACAAAAAAAAAATTATTTTAATTAGCCAGGTGTAGTGGTATGCACCTGTAGTCTCAGCCACTCAGGTGGCTGAGGCAAGCCAGGCATGGTTGGCTCATATCTGTAATCCCAGAACTTTGGGAGGTGGAGATGAGAGGATTGCCTGAGTCCAGTGGTTCGAGACCAGCCTGGGAAAATTGGTGAGACCTCTTCTCTACAATAAATCAAAAAGCCAAGCGGGTGGTACACGCCTGTGGTTCCAGCTACTCGGAAGGCTGAGGCAGAAGGATCACCTTAGCCCAGCAGGTCAAGGCTGCAGTGGCTGTGAATGTACCACTGCAGTCCAGCCTGGGCGACAGAGTGAGACTCCGACTCAAAAAAAAAAAAAAAAAGGAGGCTGAGGTGGAAGGATCCCTTGAACCCAGGAGATGAAGGCTGCAGTGAGCAATGGTTGTGCCACTACACTCCAACCTGGGTGACAGGGCAAGATCCTGTCTCTAAGTAAATTAAAAAGGGCAGTGGTCAAAGGTTCTGAGAGAGATGCACCTTGGTTGGGAGAGGCTGAAGAGGGACGTTCATCTCTGGTGGGGTTGGGGCCTCTGACTGGCTCACCTACATGGATTTCAGAGCCAGCTGGGGGAGCATGCCACACAATGAAAGCAGAGCGCAACGGCCTGGCGCACCAGCAGCGGGAGGGAGAGTTTAGGGGACAGCGAGAAGCCAGTGTTACCATACAGTGGCAAGTGGACAGGTCAAGGGTCCCAGGCGAGGCCACAGAGTGGCCAGAGCACGACAAGCCTCTCCAACCTGGGCGGACTTGCTGTTTTATTCCAGTTGCCAGAGGAAGCCGTCAGCAGGCTCTGAGTGCTGGAGTGGGTGTCTGACTTGGGTCCTAAGGCGTCATTCCAGCTGCCTGTGGAGCCGACCTGGAGCCGACCGGGACCCATTAGGGGAGAAAGAGGCAGGAGCTGTGACCCGAGGCAGTGACAGTGTGCGATGACACAATGATGGGCTGTGGGTTTAACCAGAAGCTGGAGCTGACAGCATTTGGGGAGTGAGGAGCTTGAGGGGAGACCACAATGTCACCTCCAGGTGTGGGGTTTGAGCACCCTGGAAAGCGGTGTGTCATTTACCAAGAAGGGAAGATCATGGGAAGAGCGGGTGTAGGACACTGAAGTCAAAATTCAATTCAACGGCACATTAGAAAGCACACA